GGGTAACCGGGGCTCCGGCTCGACGTGCAGGAGAAGGAACGGGGTGGTTTTTAGTCAGTAAGAGTCTGACACTCCCTAAAAAAAAAAAAAGGCGGAAGCAGTCATTCGATGATTTTCCCCCCTTAAAAAAAAAAAAAAGACGGAGGTGTAGGTACCTATAGTAGGTACCTAATATTGCTAACATTCAAACACCTGTGAAACGTTATAAATCTACCCAATTTCTTTTTAATATAGATAACGGGTTACCATAAATATGCCGAGCACTATAACAGCAAATTATATAGATTTAAAATAACTGGCAAAAAAATCATATTTAATTTGGTACCTACCTGCAAGCTACCTATAGCATTTTCTTACCTATTCTCTGACACGCAGCACGTAAATCTACCTGAGTCTACGGGGAATAACAACTGTAGATGACGCTTGTTATTTTAAAACAGGCAGGTTGATAGCCGACTGGATAATATTATAATTTTACCTAAAATGACTTCTTAATATGCCTGTAGTGTAGATACCCTATTGCTAAGTTACGTTGATATAGTTCTTGTATTTTTTGTTTACTTCTATTTGTATTCGATTGTTTTGATATTTACTTCAATAGTTAAATAGTAACTTACTTACTTACTTGGTAATAATTAGCACCTACTTGCAAACAGTACCTAATAATTACAATTCCTCAAAATATTTACGTAAAATTGAATCATTATCTCGAAAAGACTACATTCAGTGGCCACTTATGTTGATCGTTACGTAGCTGCTCGCTAGCAACTGATAACTTCTCCAGGGGTCATGCGGCAGCCATTTTGTTAGACCAGTCACATCTTTGACGTCCCGCGGTTCAGTTGAATCCCAAGTGCTGTGCTTGCCCTTCCTCTCCTCTTGCAAACTATATCAAGATTACATGGTGCTGTTTGGCACAATTAAGCTAACTAACACATACGGTGTGTGCAGAGGCCCTGTCACCAACGGCCTCAAGATTGAAACTCTCAGTAACTTGACACTCGAGACCATTTTCTTCAACTTGTGTAAAGGTAAGTTTCACTTTTCTTACTTTAATTAACATTGTGTGCTTGTGCTTAATAAGTATCAAGCTGTTTAACGCCCTTATTATAATTGCGTAGGTATGTGAATGGATACAGGCATAAGTAAAAAACATTAAAGATAGCCTAGTATATTATACCTACCTACTTTTGTAGTTTATCAAAGAGGGCGCCAGTAAAGCTGCCTATTTATTCAAGATAATAGTTATTTAGGTACCTATTTAGATTCTACACTTATCTTACCGAATTGGTATCACTCTACAGTGGCGTAACTACAGGGTGGCAAGTCGACAAAATGCCAGCCCCCAGCTGGTAGGGGCCCCCCGCTGGAAGGGGCGCGTTTGTTTTTTATTAGGAACTGGGGCCAATCAGATGCATTGTCACGGGCTCCGAAGCGAATAGTGATGCCACTACCACTCAACAGCCGCGGAGGACTTAACAGGTTGCCGGGGGTCCGGCTTAAAAGGCAGGAGCAGGAATGGGGTGGACTCAAACAAAATTTTATTCAAGTTACCTACAGTAGTTATCTACTAATTGTACGGATATTTAATAACTATTTTCCTTTTGTTAACCAATGGACTAGGTGTAGTGGTGTAGACAATTATCCTGATGTAGGTATGAGTAGGAAATTACAGACATATCTAATTCTTAATGCAATCATAATCACAAACATTGTTACATGTACATTAACATAGCATCATGCCTTGTAATCCTCGAGGAGGTACCTTAGGCAGAGGTGCATCTGCATTATGTGTGCCCATTGATACATATGAGCTCAATAGGAGCTCAGTTTTTGCGAGTTGCAATAATAAGAAATGTGTCTATTAGGTACCATGCATCGGGCACAATTTCATACTCTGTGCAGTATTATATAGCCGTCCGTAGCTATTGACATATTTCGAAATACTTAGATAACTGTGCAATGTCAGAAATACATTGCCCGACTCAAGACCAGCCTACAGACACTCGACCATCGAAACCGTCAATTGATAAGCTTACTATTTAGAAGTTTCTCGGCTTCTCCCAGTGTCTGTGTTAATGTAATTATTTCGCAAGTGATTTTTTTTGCTGGATAAGTTCAAACCAAAATCTAATCATTTAATATTTATAAGTATCTACCTGCTAATATGTAGATCACGAAGCAGTATCCACCGCTACAGCGGTTTACATGTGTAAGTTTTTTTTAATGGGATAATCCGGTAAACGAGCCGACGAATCACCTGAGTCGCCCACGGCCCATGGATACCTGGAACACCAGAGGCGTTACCGGCTTTTTGGGATAACATCGAGGATTATTGAGGATTCAGGGATTGGGTAATCAGGCCTCCTCCGAGCTAGCCCATTAGTGCCAAAGCATGGCTCTCCCACAGTAATTTAGATACCTAGTTAAGTAAGAATCTGGTTGAGTACCTACTTAGTTGGTTTTAAGTAAAAGGTAGGCACCTAATTTAACGAAAAATGTAGGTATATAATTATTGTTAACTTACAAAATTTTCATTGATTTCAGCTTGCCAGATCAAGAGCATGGCTTCAATCCCACCTTCCGCGTTCTCCGCTGGTCGCATCCGCGACACACAGCGCGATATGAAAATATCAAAGGAGTTTACAGGAAATCAATCCACTAAGTTCTTTAACACTACACGTGAGTAACTTTAACTTCGTTGATTCCTCGTTTTTTATAGTCAAACTCACGTTAGCGTTATCGACATTTTCTGATTTTTTATAAGATTGGGTGCCCCTCAATACAATTGGAATCCACCAGCACTCTAGCAGCAGGTATCCTATTACCTATTTGAAATGTTTCTCTACCTAGATCATCTTCTACATGATCATGTTTAGGCTAGAGAATGGAATTATTATGATACGCGACGCGACTGATGGGTATTGTGTGATGGTGTGATGTCTCAAGCACCATTAGATCATCATTTTTATAATACCTATAGTCCTATACGTTATGAAAACTCGAGCCAACTCTACACAACAGGTCACTTGAGGTCACCTAATTTATCTTTAAAGTATAGGGGGCTTTATTACAGAAATACCAAAATAACAATTCATAAAATATCGTCCGTCATAATGTCAATGTGCCCTATATATTTATTACTGGCTACTTCCACGCGGTTTCACTCGCTCTGCTCGGCGCCTATTAATCGTAGTGTGATATTGTATAGCCTATAGCCTTCGTCGATAAATGGGCTATCCAATAAAAAAAGAATTTTTCAAATCGGACCAGTAGTTTCAGAGATTAGAGCGTTCAAACAAATAAACATAAAAACAAACTCTTGAGCTTTATAATATTAGTATAGATATCCAATCTGTTTTGTTTCAGTGATGGAACTGACTCCACTGAAATACAATAGCAAGCTAATGACCAGCATCTGGGGCGACTACAACCGCTACTCGCCGCACAACGTGAAGAAGATCAATGATGCTAACACATCCAATGTGGAGTTGCAGCAGTAAGTACCTACCTACCTAGTATGCACCTACTAATAATCTTACTTTACTTACCTATTTACATACTCTAGATATGACTTCAAGGTTGACTCAGTAGCTGAGCGACCGGGTGCTGCATCACCTGTGTTAACGTGTCGTGAATTCGATTTTGAGCGATCCGCGCGGAATAATTATTTTCTTCATGTGATTGTGTGATTCATAAATCAACATTGACTGTACGACTATATAGTTAGCGTAGTGGCTGGGCAAAGCGGTCGAAGCCCGCACGGAACAATACATTGTATGTTCCACAAATTGTTGTTTCAGGTCTGGGTGTCATATGAAATGTGAATTTGTATGTTTGTAAACGCACCCACGGCTCATCAAAAAATCCTAGTGTGGGGCGACGTTCAAAAAAGCAAAACAAAACTGTTGCACAACGTGTCACGGGTTCGATTCCCGGACGCAACAACTATTTGTATGATCCATAAGTTGTGGCTACATGTCCTAAGTCCGATATCGAAAAAATAGTGTTTGTAAACACACTCATAACATGACAATGGAGAACATTCTGTCTAACAAAAAAAATCATTAATATTTCATTCTGATTTAATTTTTAAACTAACTTTTTTTACTTTAATTTCAGATCCGCTGCTAACTCCAACAACAAGAACGATTCTCCGATAACGCTGCTTTCTACCAAACTGAACAATATTTGGACAGCTATAAACATTTCAAAACACTAATAACATTCAGTTCCCAATGGATACAATGTGTATAGATTATAAGAAAATATATAAATACAACTAAAATTGTTTAATTATCTCAACCAAAGGAATTTCTACCCAGTTTCTGCAAAAAGGCGGTATTATGAAAGGAAAGGTAGAGGCACACTTACGTTAAAAAGTTAACAACCAATTAATTATTATGTTTTCGGCTTACTCAGTACTCACGTAACTGTTTGACGAGGAACTCGACTAGTTTCAAGCCATGCTAGGGGCTCATATTCATGAGCAGCAGTCGCGCTGCTACTGTCACCATAATTATTAATTTAGTATGTCTCACATAGTAAACACCCACTTTTACTATGTTATTTAGTCAGGCTAGTCTATTTTTATTCAACTTAAAACGTGCGATTATTGAGAATATCGAAGGTCCAATAACACTTCACCCGAATGGCAGTCGAAAAAGACTAAGGAAATCCCTTGTTATATTGCTGCACTTGTGACTACTCAATCCGGTAAGCAGTATGTATGATGCACCAAATAGTGCAATATTTCAAAAACCAATTTTAACTCGTCGAGTACCGGTTTTGTAGACACAATTATAGAACAATAGGTTGCGGTCACCGGTGACCGCTTGGTGTTTGACAGTTTAATGTGTTAACACATTAAATGCCATGGGGGTCACCGCTCACCGAAGTTAGCAGAGGATTTGCCTTTAACAATTTTCTATTGGCAGTCAAAGCCTTAATATAATTTATGTAGAACTCAATAACATTATTATTTTAGCTTGGATGGAAGTATCATAAAAAAATTACAAAATGTTATTTCATTTGAATGTTTATTAGTAATATTCTCACATTTACATAAGCTATTACTAGTGCTCTACTAATTCTACAGCATTATTTTTAATTAAATATTTTTTTATATCACAGACAAACTAAACCCACTAATTGTATTATGACCTACGATTTTATTAAAACAACACAAACATTACTAATAGTTGCACAATCATTTTAAGTTTGTTAGTACACATCTTTCTTTGCTTTGGGATAAATTTAACTAGTCAAAGGAAAAGGCTGGTCCTTGGGTTGGAAGTCAATTCATAGTTACTGTAAATATGTAACTAAAATGTAAAAATGGTATTATAGAGAAGACTATAATTGTGTAGAACAAAATTAAATAATAACACATTTTTTGAATGTGCTTCAAACAATTCCATCCATGTCATTTGATTTTAAGAGTTACATACAAAATCTACAATTTTGGTATTTACATAGCTTCTTGAAAGGTTTGGTATTACAAAATAGCATGGGTTTTAGTGTCCCATAATGTGAGCATATTATTTTTAGGAAATACATTCCTAGGTTTTATTCAATGGCCTAAGTAAAATTCACTAACTAATCAAGTTTTACAGAAAAACTTGCACCACACGAGCAACCTAACTCGGCATTTGGATTTTGTGTAATTCTAAAAGCTGCTCTGATGAGCTCAGTATGATAATCCACAGTTGAACCTTTAATGAAATCCAAGGACGTCTCGTCTATTACTACTTTGACTCCATCTTTTTCAAATATTCTGAAAAAGAAGACATAACATGTAATTATCTTCAAAAAGCAAATTACGCAATAACTAACACACTAATGAGACTTGCCGATTATAAAAAGGGCCAAATTAATATATGTATAGGATATATTATTAATGTAGCATAGGTTATGAAATTGTTATCGGCAAGTGTTAACATTTGTAATGAAAAAAATAACTCTAGAAAAATTAATATCTCTCAAGATTCAATATTTACACAAAATTCAACATTCAACATTGTATTGTCAAACTGAATATTAAAAGGTATAGATAATATAGAAATAATGAATAACTTAGTACATACTTGTCATCATCAGCTATTTTTGTATCTAAATCGAATTTGTATTGAAATCCCGAGCAGCCACCACTCTCCACACACACTCTCAGGAAATTGTCTTCGTTAGTACATAATTGTTTTAGCCTCTGTACACAACTGTCGCTTATATTTATTCCTTCTGTAGAAACAGATGCAACTGCCTTTCGAGCTCCGTATAGTCTACTACTTACGATACGGTAATTTTGATATCCTAATTTAATTATTTGTCTAGGTTTTAAAAACATTTTCGGCGTATTTGTATTGTATTCTAGTAGAGTTTCACAATATTTTGTAGTTGTTAACCCGTATCACCAGTCTTCAACACAATTGGAATTACGAACGGCCACTAACTACGCCATAACCACAAAAAGATCAAAGATTCAATTAACACACCATTTTTCGTACGAGCAATATACAAACGAACAAATTTGTACACAAAATTCAATATGTTTTAATACATCGAAATTTAGTCTCGTCTTGTTACGTATTATTTTCTGCAACTTGTGTTGATTTTGTTCGATAGGTCGGTGAGTAATTGACAGTAACACTGTGACACTGACTTTTAATGTCAGGTGATTGACAGCTGATGAATGAAGTTTCCAAACGAAAGAAAGTTTTAGATTTTCAAAATTACTTGCGAGTAATAATAATAATTGTTTTAATTACCATTTCATAAAAGTACACTTGTTTAAAGAATTTAAAAATACGATTACAATGTTATAAAACGAAAACAAACTTTATTACAACGGACAGCACAGCAGATCAACATGCTCCTATCTGTCATGTAGATTTTCAACTGTATGATTATTAAAACCTAAGTCCAAAATCCAAAAAATAATTGAAAGATTAGAGTCCTTTGGTCTGCTGGCTACTGTGCGTTCAGAAACAGAAACTGTATTTTGAGAACGGCTTTCCAATAAAGTAGGGTAAAAATATTGTAAACAAAATACATACATAGCTTCACACCTGTCTCCCATGGGGGTAGGAAGAGACTAGGGAACGCCATTTACTACGATTCCTACATATCTCTTTCGCTTCATCAACAGTCATCAGTCTTTTCATGCATACTCGTCGGTTAAGGGTACTTTTAATTTGGCCCTTATTTAATATATCGCCAATCTGGTCAGTGACCAGATGTCACTCTGTGTCCGTCTAGGACCCTCTAGGCCTCTACCGACGGCCCCATTCATATCCACTCTGTATACTTCTTTCGTTACTCTACTTTCATCAATCCTTTCTACATGTCCAAACCAGCGTAACATTCCATTTTAATCCTTGTCACTACTACATCATCTTTCAATCCACACTTTTCTATAATAACACTATTTTTCACTCGATCACTCAATATTTATTTGTAAATAAAATAATAATAAAAAAAACGCTTCTTACCTGACTGACTATAGGTTAGAAGAGTAGAAGATTTTTACTTTAATTTAATTTATAGGTTCATTCAATTTCAATAAATCAATAGACTAGGTTTTGTTGTCCTGCTTTGTTCTATCACACCCAGTGTTTGTTCTATCATATCGACTGTGAGTAGGTTCCTACGGGATAAAAAAAGAATGTAGAAATGTAACCGAACAGACGGATTACCGGACTTGATGGTAAGCAATCGGCGCCGCCCATGGACGCACGCTAGCCCATAACATTAAATGTGTTACAAATGCGTTACCGGGTTGCTTTTGAGGATTGGGGATGTCATATGGTGATGAGGGGATTGAGCCTCCCTCTGATAACCCGTTAACGTTGTTTCATGACGGTTTTCTATGAGGCTGTGATCGAGTTAGCCCAAACACGATTAGCCCGCATGCCACATTTAAATATCCTATTATTATAACACATATCCGGTATTTATGACTGATTTACCCACTAGATTAACCTACTCTACTAATGCAGAAAACGTAAATTGCAGAAACAAAATTAAATAAGTGCCTACCTAAGGCAAGGATGATTTCATTAAAGGTGAAAAGAAAACATTGTTAAAGTGAAAATTATTATGGAAATTGGATGACATTTTTTTTATGGAATAGGAGACAAACGAGCAGACGGATTACCTGATGGTAAGCGATCAGCGTCGCCCGTAGACACCCACAACACCAGAGGAGTCACAGGTGCGTTGCCGGCCTTTTAAAAAGGAGTACGCTCTTTTCTTGAAGGTTTGAAAATCGTATCGGTTCGGAAATACCGCCGACGACAGATTATTTCACAGTTTTGCTGTGAGAGGCAGGAAGCTACGTGAGAAGCGCACAGTTGTGGCGTGCCAACCATCTATATGATGGAGATGCATATGCTGTCGTAAGGGTTGATGGCGAAAAGATGCGGCAGGTATCAGGTCAAACAATTCCTCAGAGCACTCCCCGTGGTATAAGTGATAGAAAATGCACAATGAAGCTACATCTCTACGCAATGCCAAAGTGTCCAGCCGGTTTGAAACATCCCGACATCCAACAATCCGAACGGCACGCCGCTGATTACGCGGTCCAGAGGAAGAAGCTGGTACTGGGGTGCCGCCCAAAGATGAGAACAGTATTCCATGTGGGGCCGAACCTGCCCCTTATAGAGGTATAGAAGCAGGCGGTGGGCCGGACTACGCGAGTATCTGTTTTCAGTTGAACAGATTGTCAATCAACCCACTTCAGACGCTTTTGTACGTTTACGGTTAAGTATTAGAATTATTTATTATTATTTTATTTATTAGGTTACGTATTATTTGCAGGTACCTATTAACTTCGTTCTTAACTTCGTAGGTATTTAGTTATTTCTTGAAATGGCACTTTATTTAGCCGTAGATAAGTCACGGACTTTGATTTCGTGATTAGACAGATAAAAGTAATTGTGTTTACGTCTACTCTTGTAGACCCATGAACACAGCAGCCAAGAAACATAATTGTTAACTTACCTAAAAATTAGGCAGTAAGTATGTGAATACTTACCTACCTAACTACCTAATACAGTGCAGAAACATTTGTGGCAAAAAGTTAATAACTACTTTATTTTCCCGCAGTTCGTGTCAACGAAATCAAATCTTTTGGAAATAAAAATGAAAATAATGCGCAGCCGATAGCACTTTCTTTCTAGCAAATGTAGGTATGTACTTACCTACCCATGTATTAAAATATTTTCCTTAGTATTATCCATTCATAAGCCTATGCCACGAATAAAAAAAAACTTATCACGCGTGACATGGTGGGACCCAGCCCAGCACCGAGCACCCCACAAGTTCTTGGTTAGAATGAATGAAACGTGTGCTACGGACACCAGGTGACAAGGGACAGCAATCTGTTAAAACGTGCAAACTATTTCGAAATTTATATCTAAAAACTAGGGGAAAGGCAATTTTTCAATATTTTGTGTATGACCTATATAGGTATTATGTTATATAAATATACTATTAACAAGATATACCTATTTATGTAGGATTTTTATAGTCTCAACGGTAGAAAACCCAATTATAGTAAGTGACAAGTATTAAGATAATTTCTATTTGTAAAAAATGTTTATAAAGAAAGGAATGATGTAATTGCATTGAAATATTTATGCTGAAGAATATTCACTGACTGTTTTTCAAGTACCTACAACAAGATAGTAACATCTAAAAAGTTAGTTTTTACCGACTACTTCTTCAAATTTCAATTACTTTAGTACCTAATTATAATTACAAAGTCTATAATTATCTAACAATTTCTCAATTATGTACTTGATACTTCAATAAGTAAGGTAAATGTCGAAATTTCTATAAATTACCTTAAAAATGGTAAGAATTCTTAACTTGTAACACTGTTGTTTATAATCCATTAGTTAGAGTGAGAGCGAAATACGGTAAAAGAAAAGAGACAGGCAAACAAATCGGGGAGTGCTGGCCAGCGGTCCTTTGCATCGACACGTTTCTTCATAACATAAATGTTTTTATTTTGGATTTCATTGCTATTCCATGAATAGAAGTGATAGTGTTGCATTTAAATATTAAGGTTTTGACGTAATTACATTCAATATTCTAAATAAAAGAATTTTCAGAATAGAGAAATGCAGTTTTCGTTAAATAAACACAATTTTATTTTTATTTTCAGTTCCAGTAATAATTAGTAAATATTAAATAAAACTGAATAAACAATATTATGTAAAAAAGAACTTAGTTATAACAACAGTATCGTACAATACTTTATTATATTCACTGGCCACCCTACTCCACTTTGCGCGGCAGCGGTCAGAAGGCGGAGCTTATCGGCAAACTCGCGTCGAAGCTGGATTCACTGTCAATTCGAGAGCCGCGAAGAGTACGCTCGCGTCTATTACGTGGTGTGTTTATAGTGAAGTGGATTTTGTGATGAGATTATCGAATGTCGTGAAGTGAAAGATAGTGTTGTTTTATCAAAAAGTGTAAACTTGTGGGCTGTACAATGTTTATGGTTCACTTATAGTGCATAATCAAAATGTGTGAATCACGATTGTGTGCAAAATTGATTTATGCCACGTAGTGACGCGAACGGGTAATGATTCCTAATGTGGAGTTCGAAGCAAGATGGTTAGAGAGACTCGGCACCTGTGGGTTGGAAATTTACCCGATAACATTCGTGAAGACCGAATAAGGGAGCACTTCAAACGGTAATATAACTTTTATCTATTAAATTTCAGATATTATTATATCCAGGACTAGTTTATAAAAGATTCATGGATGTGAGATTTCATCTCACGTAAAATATGTAAAACGAAGTAAATATTTTCTGTTGGAATAAACACGCTAAACGTACCTATACCGAGAAATACCTACCGGACGTAGGTGCCATCCATGTATGTTTGTTATTGTTTTTATTTCCAAATTGTAAAGTTATAACTTGTTTTAGTTTAATCAACATTTGATATATTATATCACAAAATAAGTAACCGTAACAAGAGATTGTTAACAGACATAGCTGGTCCATGTTTAATAAACTAGGTACTTAATTCAATGTCGACTAAACATACTAGAAATATCAAGTAATATAATTTATATACTTTTTAAATATATTACTAACGAATTGCGATTGCAGGTAGCTAAAGCACTTGTATCTGTCCCGATCGCAGTCATCGAGAACCTTTGTTTAAACTTTTTCTGTTAAAATAATAGGGTATTGTTAGCATTGTACTGATTGTATATAATGATGTATATCTGCATACATACCTATATTAGGCCATCTCAAATTATGGAGAAACACTGAGGAAACAGGAGTGAAGTAATGTGACGATCAAGTAGCACATGTCGCAACATGTGTTGAACTCTTATAATTATAAGATTTTGGACAATTAGGTAGTTATTCTTCGATGTGTTACATGAGCTAGGTTAGGTACTCATATTTGCTATAGAAAGTTACCTAGTTCGCTCACGGTGTATGATTACTCGTCTCGTAAGAATTCGTACCAGCATTAGCAGGAGCTTATCGCTAATTGAATTAGTAAGGCACTTAGGTATATTCAATATAAAAAAATTAGGTAGGTAGGTACTTGCTAGAGTTACTGGACTTCCTACATGCTGTTTCTCTACAAGCAACGTTGAAAACTAACCAAAGCACGCCAAGGCCAGTCTTCATTAAAACCGATTTTTATCAACGAAATTGATTTGGACTCTATCGTGTTGTAATCGTCTGTCAACCACGTTGTGGGATGGTATGGTAGATTCATTAGGCTTGTCTGATGGTTTCATTTGCGTGTTCTGTTTTAAAGCGTGTTATTTATAGAGGCAACGCAATATGCAACCTTCGTTTTATCACGTTTACTATCGTATACATATTTTTTTCAACGAGGACTTGTAATTACTTTTTGAAATATTATTTGCCTTCATGCTCATGCATTCTCAACGTAGAAACTGCAAAACGTCACTAAATAAACTTTCAACCTTGCCTCCCTCTCCACGTTCGTATAAATGTGGACAGAAACACGACTTCGTTTTGGCTTCTTTTGCTACTCGTCAGTTTCCTGGGTTCCTTAGATGTTACTAATTTCAATCAAATGAAATGATTTACTTAGCTGAACAATTATCATTACACAATGCTCACGCATTATTCAACGTTGTTTTAAATAAACGCATTTTTCATAATGGACGGATTATTCCTTGCATTTTCCATTTTCCTTGATTATTCCTTTTGACTGTTTTTTTAAGGGGGGAAAATCATCGAATGGCTGCTCCCGCCTGGGTGAGGCGGGAGGGAGTGTCAGACTCTTACTGACTAAAAACCACCCTGTTCCTTCTCCTGCACGTCGAGTCAGAGCCCCGGTTACCCGTTAGGTTCTCCGCGACTCCTTTTGACTGATAGGACTTTAGTAACTACATCGTTTGCATGTTCTTTTTCGTAAGAATCTACACTTTAATATAGCTACGTATTTAACTATTCACAAACTAAGATTGTAATACTAATATGATATCGTTACATTACCTCCTACACAAAACTCACTGCTTTATTTAATCTATCTTACCTAACGTTCGATAAGCAACTTTTTATCAGTAGTCATAATTCATGCATCTGCAACTAAATCCATAGGGACTGAAGTCACAATCTTATAAGTACACAAGGGATTGTCGCCCATTACTGTGATGTGTCAATATGTGACTCGACTCTATTAAGAGAATACGGTGTCTTCTCCACTGGTATTCAACCTTGTGCATAACCTAATATTAAACAATTCTTTCCTATACGTATGTACATTTATATATGCCTTCCCAAAGAATTTATCAAGAATTCAATAAAAGCAAGGTACCTTTATTCTGTAGGTATTTATTTATTCGTATTTATCTGGGTTATCTATCATTCTGTATAGTCTATTAATATTAAAATCAATCGTGAAATGAGTTATTATTACTTAGGCGTCAAACTCAAAAATGACTAAACTAGGTAATTCGGTAAAATTTTTTTTTTTTACAAATTTACGTTTTATTGGGGTCTGGAGAAAAATTTTATGTTCATGCATAAAATCGTCGTCGTTGACGTCTACCGGGTCCCCCTCTGCTACGTTAAAGTTTAGTCTATTTATTTTTTTGCTGTGTTAACTGCCGACAAAAACTGAAAGGCTAATCCTCCACTAGCGTCGATCATCATTGTCCGACACGGCATTAAATGTGTTACAATCTTGAAGGTGCTTTAAAACCACATTGGCAACAATTGGCGTGTGCTACTGCTATTCATGTAAACATACTTAATAGGTATAGAAGAAATGAGAAAAACTGTTTGTCTCATTTCTTCATTCAAGTTTTTATTGGCGCGAAGATAAAGTGTATTTTCTGTGTTCATAATTATTATTCTTCCGAATACACAACCTTATGGAAATTGGCGTCACGCCATTATGATAATTCGCCAAGGCATCATTCCGTGCCGACTGCATATTTATGAAAGAACGAAAGTCATTCGGTGTTCAAACATGATCTTCTACCGTTATATGTGTAGGTAGGTATGTTCTGTTTAGCCAAAATAGCTATTGATTTGATCTCTGTGAGCCTCTTGATCTCGTGATAGATAGTCTTTTGGTTTGATGAAATCTTATTCGAAGATTAATTACCTAGCACATAAAGCACAAGCAGCAGTAGGTATATATTTCTTGCTTTTTTATAATTTTCTATGAAAAGTTAATTAAAACGCTACCTATGTCTTGCATAATTCTTAACGCTTAATAAAGTAGGTAGCATGTGGCGCCGAAATACAAGAGGTTATCGCAAACTCAATAGTAACAGGTTCATAGATTTCACGTCAAATGCTGTTTTTCATTACCTTTTTAAATAATATGCATTGCACACATAAAATTTATGGTTAAATGACAGTGTGGTGTCAGCACAAACTCGAGAGCGGTTAGACCCAATTCTATTGTAAATGCTAGCACTACGTTTACGTTAATGAAATTATGGAAAGGAGAATCTTTCTCTGTGGGTCTCCCAACTGACGATGATTAGTCAAGGTCCTAGATCAGAGAAAACTAGGTAGTTTGTCGTATTGTAACAATGAAAGTTGAAACTTCAAACTGAAGTGGTTCCAGTCCGCAACACTCGATACGTATTTATTTTTACAAGGTCAAAATTATTATAAACCTTTGTTAGCTATCCTATCTCAATACGGTAGTTGACAACTAGTCAAATTGAACACTTTAATTGATATGTCAAGAACGATACGACATTATATTAAAATACCAACTTATGATGGCATCATCAATTTTGTTATGCATTCACACTTAATGCTGAAAAATTAGCTACAATCGATAATTAAGTAGATATATCGTCAAATCAATGAATTAAAGTGTGATTATTTTTGAATATTGAATTGTGTTGAAAAATTAAAATTATTTATAATCCAGGAAACTACTCAATTGAAGTAGGTGAAGCATAAAACCTACCAATAATATCGATAAAGTTTCAATTACCTAGGACTTTAATCTTATGTAGGTACGTAAGTACTTCGATTTAATTAAAATTGTCTAATTCTTATTTGTGTGATCTGAAATGAAACGCTATCCGCCACAAGACTGGCGTTACTATCGACAAAACAACAATTGAGTACGTATTATATCTCGGTTTTCAAATTAATATTTTTAGTATATACGTAATTACCTACTAAATCATAATCAAAGTGCAAATGACTGAAATTAATAAAAATACACAATTTTTTTTTTAGTAAACCGTTGCCCCACACTAGGTTTGTCTCCTGTGTCGTAGGTACGTTTACAAACATACAAGTTCACATACACATGATACCCAGACCCGGAACTACAATCTGGATCACACAAAGAGTTGTTCCGTGCGGGAATCGACCCGCGGCACGATGCGCGGCAGTCAGTTGCCCAACCACCACGCCAACCATGCAGTCAATATGGTTAAGTACTTCTGGTTATTTAGTGGATAATGACGTCCCATCGATTTCATTATGTATTCAAAATTATAATATTTAATTAAAGTTTATGCCTGCTTAGACATTATTTTGAGAAAAAAAAATATAATAATTAAATGACTATGTTACAAACATATTAAAATACTTTTCAAAAAGCTGTATTATTTCCCTTTTCGCCAAGTAAAGTAATTTGAATTTCATCAAATGTTATTATGTGTGTTTATGAAATTTAACGTGACCTCTATAAGCGTGATACTATCATCCTTGGACTATAAACTCTCAGACAAATATTTTATCATTGAATGGATTAAGAATTTTTGTATAACTTGTTAATAGATGCTTAAATGCGCAGCATTCTACAATTGACACAATTATAATTTACAATAGAACTGTTTGTCATTGACGAATTCCATTCTCTCCAAAGGAAGGAAGAGTAACGATGAAGTTTCTTGCTCGTTCTTCTCCATTGGAAATTTCACTTTGGAACGGGCACCTACTAACAGACAGACTGACCAACAATTCACTTTGGATGTTTCAAAAGTGCCTAATTAAGGATTAATTTAAATAAATGCTTTGACTTTGTAGAATAACTAGGTACCACATTCGAAGCTTTTACTTATAAACTCATTATAAGCAATAGAATGACGCAAAATTATACCTATCGCTAATAGGTAAGTATCTAGCAATAGCAAGTCATAAAATTCTTGCAACCTTCATGAGCTCTTCTCGTGTGGAATAGGATTTGTATATGTTACCGGCAAA